GTGTGAGTGTGTGTGTGAGTGTGTGTGGGTGTGTGGGTGGGTGTGGGTGTGGGTGGGTGTGGGTGGGCGTGTGTGGGCGTGTTTGGGCGTGTGTGTGTGTGTGTGTGTATGTGTATGTGTGTGTGTTTGACTTTCTCGTTTTCTCTGTGTGTATGCATGTATTCCATAGAACCTGCTATTTAGTATCCGCTTGTGCTCTGAAATGAATACTCACCTCTGTCCAATCGTCTACGGGATCTTTGTTAACGGCGGGTCGTTCCAGTCGTATTATGGCACAATCTACACTGAATCTTTGATATAAAGCTGATATACTGGCTTGCACACCTGATTGAGTATCAATTTGTGCGGATATATAAGTCACCGCATTTCCCTCTCGATTTAATGGCACCCGGAGCTTTGTATCTCCGTACACGGTGGTGACATACTCTGTCATGCTCGCCTCAAGTTTAATGAAGTACGAATTTACGGTGCCTTCCTTCCTCCTCAGCACACCACAAGTCCCAATTTTTTGGAATTCGATTCTGTTCTCTATTTGAAACCTACAGTCAGGACGAATATACACTGATGGTGACGCTAAAGCCTCTCTTCCAGGATTCCCTACCATGTCTCGTGAAAGTGAGCAGTCCTGAATGTGAAAGTCTTCCAAAATACGAGTGTTATACCATGGACCAAGGTCGCTTAGAATCTTAAGTTCTCCATCTCTCATATCGGGATCAATTACATCGATCTGGAATTGTCCTGTCAACGCAAGGGGTTCATTAAAACTACACAAACCGAGTCCGCTATTTAAAGTTATGTACTGGAGTTTTATCCCATTGTATAGGGTTGTCTCGATGAATGATTCGATACCCGATCCCACACTAATAAGCGTGTCTCCGTTCTCATCACCTATGATTGACATCGGCCTATCCAACACGATCGGACGAAAAAGTATATATGACCCTGACTCCAAATTCACCTCACTGTCACTGGTCCCCTCAATTGCAGTGACTATGTCATCGGTAGGGCCAAGGGTGAGCGCGCTTGCCGTGGCTGCACATAGTATACTCAAGCGAATTGCCTGTACAACAGACGACATCTTATATCACGAGGTTAAAACTACACACACCAAGTGCACTAGCATTACACAGTGCTCTGAATCTTTATTAGCGTAGGCTTGTTTCAAATTTCAATACACTCTTCTGCAGGTTCAGTTTCCACTTCTCTTATAGCTATAAGCTAAGGTATGTGAAGTTGTGAACCATAGTGTAGAAGAGCAAGACTTCAGCTTTTTTTCATACTGCTCTATTGACAGGTAAAATTTGTCATAATTTTAAAAACTTGGCTGTTATCAAGCCATCCTGAACACTGCCAATTGCAGTTTTTTAACGGTTAAAAACTTTGAAATCGAATAGTACTTTACTCCAGTCTTCATTTGTTGAATTTTAAAGGCCTATTTATACTTAGTCAAAAAGTAATAAACATTGTTGACAAAATACTTGAAGAATGAAATTTACTCACAAATCCCAACGAACTTTTGATAAATATTCAAAAAAAAAAAATGTTGTTGCCTCAATGAGTGAATGAGTCAATGACTCATATATTGTAATATTTTCCACATTGTTTTTCAGCCTTCTTCTAAAATAACATGTTCTCTTGTTTGTTTGTTTGTTTGTTCTATTTTATTTTATATAAAAAACACAAAATATAACATAAACACCAAACAAACATTTCAACAACAAAAAAACTAAGTAAACGTAAATAAAACGTTCAACTTATTTTTTTTGTTTTAAAACAATGTATAAAACAAACAAATTACATATGTTGTTTTGTTTTTTTTAGAAAAACAAAAACAACAACAAACAAAACAACAAACATAATTTTTTATTTTTTTAAACCCCAAAAAGCGTAGCCTTCTAAATTTTTAAAAACACAATAAGGTAAAATATGTCCTACGAACGTTATTTAGTGTTGTGGAAATTTTTTCTTTCTCTTTCTACTAGAGTAGAGTAGTAGAGGGTCATGAAGGTATTGAGCAGAATGGATATAAATAAAAGTCAAACGTTTTATTTATGTTTATTTACTTTTATTTTGAAATTATAGTTGGTCTGCTTGGGACTGTAGGCACAGCCTTCTTCTGTCTATAAATAGACTAGGCTTTTATGCTACATTTGTATAGAGAAATCAGAAAAGGGTCGTGAAACAATTTCGTTTTTTTTCTTTTCATTCTCATATCGAGAGCAAAACAGCAGCAGTGCTATAAAATATAATATTTACAAGAAAAATCGGGGGGTTTTTTAAACAATACCACTCCCTCAGTCCTCAGAGGCTCAGTCACAAGTCTCTATCTCTCTCTCCCTGACTCGCGCGTTCTGAGAGTGAAAGAGAGAGAGTCTACTCTACTAGAGAGAATAGACAGTTGTCTCGCGGTAAAGAACACGACACTGAATATCTGAAGACAGTCTGCGACTCTGTGGCTCTGCGCAGTGCGCACAACAAGAGAGAGAGAGGGAGAGACTGTGAGGACTGAGGAGAGAGGGGAAAGAGAATAAACTGAATATTAGAGCCTCTCTGAATCCGGAATCCCGCAAGCCTGATGAAGCTCCCTGAGGCCTGAGGCCTGAACTGAGAGTCTGAGACTGATGAGGTAGAGCTGTGAGACAGAGTGAGAGAAATGAATTTCCTTCATAGAATTACGTAGTACGTACTGTTATCATTGTGCAATGTTATCCAATAAGATCATTTACACTTTCTCACGTAGCCTTCTGAAGAAGAAGAACATCTCACTGATTTTTTGTCATTTTGATCTACAATCATGAACACTTCCAGAAGTCTCTTGAAATGTCACGAAGTGTCAAATCGACTTTCGCATAATTGCTTGTGGGTTGAAAACTTGAAATACATGAACCTCTCAAAGGTACGCACCAATGAGATGTCCATATCTCCAGAATGTTCAATCAGTGTACTGACTCGTGTAAACACTACATTTAGATGAACTTGAGAACTGTACACAATATCAGGAGTGCACTAATATCATCTGACATTTCGTTGAACCCCAACATATGGCTTTAAACCATGGGCTTGCTATAGCCTATATATGACTTCAAAATTGACCCATTTTCATCGCAGTTAGAACTTACTATAAAGGCTCACCATGCCTTTTGATCAGTCATTAGCGTAAACGAGAACTACATTCCACTATTGCAGTACCACTGTCGTAACCTGATACATATATATCACTATAGTGTGTCGCCCTAAACAATTCACTGCAGTAATCATTATCTTTGGAAATCACCGCATACTGTCACAATGGCGCGTCGACGTGATAGCCTAGCATCATCGGGCAGCCAGTCAAGTATAAAAAGCACAGCGTCTATGGGTCGTATTTCCACTGCGGCCTCCAACAAGAAAGCATCGCCTCATAAGGTCTCAATGGTAAAAAAGTATCAGTGCTCATTCCCTGGCTGTACTTTCGAGCGCAACGGTAAGAAGCATAACATCGAGCGGCACGTGTGGCTTCAACACATCAGAAAAACACTCTCCAAAGCTTTACCGTACTCGGCGCAGAGCCACCGTGACCTCGTTAAAAACTGGATTGTTCTGGTAACCAACCGTGGTATCCCTCAAGAAATAGATAACGGTGGACTGAAACCCACCCAAATTTCTCTGTTGAAAACTCATTCTGAATCTGGTATTGGAGATTGCCAGGTAATGCGATTCACATTTTATATTTAGTGGTCTTGAATCGTTTTAGACTGTCAGTGAGAGATGGGCTACTCAGTCCCCTTCATTTCACAATTTGTAATTAAATGTTTGCTCTTCCATGCAGCACTCAAACGACAGTGGCTTTGAACAATATTCACGGGCCGACAGTACCTCGAGCAGCACCGTTAGTACACACGAGCAGCATCAGGTACATGCTGTACATATGGACGCATTCAGCGACTGGGATAGTTGTGATGAACTCACAACTCCCAGAGCATCGACGGTCATAGCTGCTACCGCCGGTGATAACAATACAAGAAAGTGGCCAGGAGACAACAGTAATATTCACAAAGTTCACGATGCAATCTGCGCCAACACAACAAATGTAGGACAATCACCCGGGCTCTCTGTACAATCTGTTAAGGCTGTGCGAAGCAACCGAACAACTGTTCAGGTGCAGGACAGTATCCCATGGAGAGATCGGGAGCCACATTGGAAGTTTGATACTCAGCGCGTCGGTGGGTACCATTATGAGGATCCATGCGGCTATTTTGCTTCGGTAAGGGTTGGTAACGTATGGTATCCTATTTAGGTTTACGATCCTGTATTAATACTCATTATACAGCAAGTTTGAATTAATATTTTGTGCCCGTTCCTATCAAGACATACAATTATATGTCGTCAACAATTAACTAGTTTATTTACTCAACCTTTGTTTAGGATAACGAGTTTCAGGCCATCGACGTCAGAAGTAATTCATCTTCGGAATGTCCTACTCTGGGCGGTGCCAAGCACCAACAGCAGCAGCATCGGCCCTCCTCACGACATACCCTTACAAGCGCACATGATCGAAAGATCCTATGGAGACCGTTCGTAGCACTTTGAGAAAGCGTTCGCCAATGACAAGTGACACAAATATACGCCCGACAGTGAAACAAAAGTAAGAGATCCGAATAGGACAAAGTATTATGGTGCACAAATACACACGCACACTTCAGGAAAATAAAGGCTTACAAATGGAGTCAGCGTCGAGTAATTTTTCCGGTTATAGACTATTGCGATGTTATATCCTATTGTTCACTTTGGTTAGCAGAAGTCGCTGCTTGTACTCAAATAGTTCATAAACCGTATTTTAAGTAAATGATGCCATTTCAGTTTGTAAACTCTTCTTGCATAGAGGATTGCAACAAAATACAAAATTAACATAGTCCACAAGCTAACAACAAGAACTCAGCTAATTGAAAAGCCATCGTATATGGTCATTGTGTACACTAGAGTGTATCTTGTGATTTCGTCTATTTTAAATATTCCAATAGCTTACACAGCTAAACCACTTTTTTTGACCAGGGCGTTTCAGGCCACAATTTGGACAAAACCAGAGGTAGACAATAATCTAGCAAGTAAGGTCGGGCTTGGGGGCCCTGTAGCTCTCCCTAGTAGAGAAGTACATACACAAGTACAGTAACGTACATACGTGCATATCAAAGTCTTTTTTTAAAGCCTTCAAACATCGACTTTGATCTAATTTGTGGTTTAACTGATGGCGTATTCTTTGGCTGAGTTGTTGGCGGTGCGCATCTATCTCTTGGTAGGCAATATCCCTGACTATCATATATCCAGCACCCAGAATAACAATTGGGCGCTCACACCCAACAGGCGAGTATTACGGACGATATTGTTTGTATATACATATAATATTGTAGTTCATTTATAGGTTATCATAAAAATACTTGCTAATCCACTTCCTTTGTGAGAATATAGCAGAGCACACGTTGCGCACGTGAATTCGTACAGCAGTGTCCTAATATAACCTGGTGCGTGCCTACTGTAAATAAGTTTTGAGTCCCACTATAAAAAAAGTGGACAAAACAAAAGGTAGCGAATAAAGGTGGTAGACAAAAAGGAGGATTGACTGTATTTATTTTTTGAGTTTATTTTAATATAAAAAATACACATATCAAACACGGCCTTCGGAAGTTTAATTTTCAGAAGGCTATGCACATATGTAAATATAAACTAAAATATTGTTCTGAATTCAACCACCAGCAGTTTATATTTACAATATAAATAAACTGAGTTTTTTTTAAACTTTACAACAAAAAAATAGTTCACGCCAGTAAGTTCATAAAAGGTTTATTAGACAATTGTCCGAGCTCTTCCAGCATGAATGCCCGTAATGTGTTAACCTTAAGTATATATCATTCCTGCCTAATCTAACGCATGTCTCCCATGATGAGCTGAACCTTCCTACATCATCACTATGCTGACCCACATCCACGACACCTTCCTTACTAGGAAGCTCTCCTCATATATCTAGTGATCCTCCAATCTCTTGATCTATTGTTCAGCATAGTGTGTCATCCTGGCTTCCTCGCCAACTAACACCTGTCACATCAGCTCATCAAGCAGTTCATATCAGCTCCTCAAATCACCCTGACAGCTTAGCTGAACCGTCACCATGTGCTAGACTATGGCAGGTCGCTACCAAGACCCAGTACCGAGCTGAACCCTTGTGCATATTACAAAATACATATGATAATGCAGGGCATAGCTATAGGGTCCATATAAAATAGCTGAACAAAAGTCTCTAAATATTTAGAAGGATATGTCTCTAAAGTATGAACCTCAAGGCCCAAGGCCCCAAGCGCCAAAGGCGAACCTTGCAAATAATTATTATAAAATTCATATGTAGCCCGCTTGTTCTAATTTAGGAGGCTATAGCCCGCTACATTGAACAGAGTGTAAAGTTACGCACAGCCTGTTCAATTAATAGAGAGCTATGTATTGTGGTGATTACACATATTAGTACTTAGCCTTCTGTATTTTAGAAGGTTATGAATTAATTGTCTTGGACATTTGTTTAGATTCTGGGTAAGACACTGCCGAGTTTTCAGGACATGTCACGACCCTGAGGACCTGTCATATTCCGGATAGGACAGGACATCATCTGACCCTGGCGTAGTTGGCATACGTAAAAAGGACCCTTATTTATTATTATTTCATGGAATCAGGAATGATAAACTTTAATGTCGTACATGGCTACTTTAAGGCTATTCTTACATTGATAGTCCCTCAGTTTTGGGCTCTTACTCAGATATAAATAGATTTGTAAAGTAAATGTAGTTCTATTAATAGAATATTCCGGATAGGACAGGACATCATATGACCCTAGCGTAGTTGGCGTACGTAAACAGAACCCTTATTAATTATTATTTCATGGAATCAAGTATGATAAACTTTAATGTCGTACATGGCTACGTTAAGGCTCAGTCCCTCAGGTTTGGGCTCTTACTCAGATATAAATAGATTTTTATTAATAGAACTAGACCAAATCTTATGTTTGGTATTTTACTGGGGCTTTTAATGGCTTTGTCCAAATATCTGATATGTAAAATGGAAATGGCATTAATTAATAAAACCGTTAAACCCCATTTTGAAAACTTAAGTTCCTCGTTTTATTAAAAGTACATTTAAAGTTTACGTACTGCTTAAGAGTACGTTTATAACATAGAGTCTAATGTGGAGGCCCGGCTATTACAATGTAGAAATACGGCCTCCGGTCAGTCTAAAATATCAAGATCAATTGAGATAATACATAGGTTTTTATTTGTATTTTAAATAATTTAATTCAAGCTCTTTTTCCAATATTTCCAAAGTGTTCTAAATTCACTTTGATGGCTCCAATAGCCTGAGTATTTGGTATGACTCATCTACTTGGACCCATTTGAGACATTAGTAGATGTAGGATATTATAAACTAAATTTTATAATCTCCGAACTACTACTTATAGATTTTAGTCCT